GCTGAATGCACATTGCTCTACATTATTTATGCAGTAATTTGAAAGAAAATAGGCCACAGAAAGATTAAAATTAATCCTCGTAAACGATTCTTAAAGACTTGGCGAAAACTTTGATTCCAATTAACGCCGCATCAAACGATTTCTCAAACGCTTAAACAAACTTCAAAGATCCTCTTTGATGGTAATTACTGTTAGAATCTCTGGCGAATTCGAGTGGTCGGTTATTTATAGTGGTGATACCTGAATCAAATTAATTCAGCGTAACGTTTCACAGAAATCTACGATCCATCGAATAGATAGCAAGACGTTTCACGTATGTAAGCATCGGCACAGAATTAATCTTTAAATTGCGTGTAACACGTTACTCCCTGTGTTGTACTTACGGTGAATCGATGCTCGAAACTTTGTGGACGATCTTCGACTTCGATTATATGTATAGCAACTATACAAAAATTTGTATTTTATTTACACGTATTCTTCGTTTTGAAACGAAGCATTTTTTTTTTTATTTCATTTTCAATCACAATCAAATTTTCATATGATTATCAGACGATATGAAATACAACGTAAATATTGATTAATTGGTATGCAACAATGTAAAAAACTTTTATAACTACTATGTATATATTTGTTTATAGTTAAGATCGTGAGTTGCGAACTTGCAAACGATTAGCTTACTGTTTCACAGCCCATATGCTAAGAAGCACGTGCATATACACACACGTATATGAGTTTCTTTTGAAGAGATTGCCGCGATACTTGGTTATAGTTTTGTTTGTGACGTGTAGCTCGTTAAGAAGAGGAGAACGAGGACGTTGTTTCGTGACTCTACAGAGGCATGAAGTAATATTTCCTTCGTAATTCTACTTGGAATTTTTCGCTTCGATCGAGTGAAAGAGATAACGGAATACTTTATTAAACGGTTAATAAAAATTCATCAAATGGGGATACTTGGAGTTTAAAAATTTGCTTGTTAGAATACGATATTCCTTCGATGATATTCCATTCCGTTCAGTTAAGATTTTTCGACTTTTCACGGATTCATTCACCAACAACAAATTTGCATACATCGATCGATTTCAAGGAGAGGTATCGATCGATCGATCGATTTATTGGCAATGTCGACCGCTGGTCACTGATTTTTTTTTCAAGCACCTTTCTAGGCCAAGTACAAATACATTTACATTTACATTCCATACCGCGAAATTTATTAAGCCATTCATTGAATCCTTGCCAGGGATAAATTAAACGTCCTCAGTCCTATCTTTATTCTTTATACCGTGAAATTAATGATCGTTATTGTACTTGATGATCGACAATGCGTAATTCGGGCCGTGATAATAATTAATGGCAAGAGAATTTTCACTTTTTTTCTTTTAAGCAGCAAAAACGTATCGTTCGTGAATATTTTTCGAAACTCGTAAATTTTTTTGGAAAACTCGTCCAAAGTCGATGACGTGTCTTGTCTTGACCTTTCTCTTCAGCTCGACGATTCCGTGTTCAAGAGATCCCGGTTCGCACGGTTGACCTCTCGTGACTTGCCACGACGAGATAGAACCTTTCTCTTTGCCGGCAGATAATTGTTGTCTACCGCGTTCCCTGTATTCCTATCCTCTCCCACAACGAACTCTCTCCTCTTCACTGCACGCTTTGCTCGTTTCAAAGACATTTTGACGTCGCGATCTTCTTGATACGGGGAGGAGGAGGGAGGGGGGCGTCTGGCTTTTATCCCGTGTGAAAGGGAGATATCCGCCGAAGAGAAAGAGACTCCATTTCGTATTCCTTCTTTCGCGACTCTACGTCTCCTTTGCTGACCAACCGATCTCTCTCTCTCTCTCTCTCTCTCTCTCGCTCGCTCTCGCTCTCTCTCTCTCGCTCGCTCTCTCTCGCTCGCTCGCTCTCGCTCTCGCTCTCGCTCTCTCTCTCTCTCGCTCTCTCTCTCTCTCTCTCTCTCGCGTGCCTTTTTTCGTTTCCCTTTAAACGCAAATTTCTTTTATTTTTTTTTTTTTTTTTGTCAAGAGGATCCAAGGAATACACTCTGTTTCCACGGTAAAGTTCAAGGTGGTTTTGATTGTAAATGGATAAATCTTGAAATATTTCGATAAATTTTTTTTTTTTTTAGACGATCAAAAATCAAGATGAACATTACGCTTTTGATGGATGGAATTAATGAATGGAATTAATTTGTAGGGGAAAAGGTTCAAGTGTGCGTGGAAATTTTGGAATTATTTGGAAAAAGAGGTAATTTAGAAAAAATTCTGTTAGATGTGGATATGACGAATTTTTCAATCGTGCAACCCGAGGTATTATAAAATCTAGTGATCACGATATTATGGAGAATAAATATCTTGTCTAGTAACTTGGATCTAGTAACTTTATTTTCGTTTCCATTCTTTTCCCCTGAAAAATTAATTTTTTCTTTTTTTTTAGGGAAAATTCGAATATTGAATTTAATTTATAACATGTATTGAAAAAAAGAAAAAATTATATCTTTATAAATTGTTTCATTAATTTCTCGTTCTAATATTGCTGTAGAAGATAATAAAACATCGCTCACGTTATGTCGCGTGACAGGATACAATGACATTTTCTTCTCCAATTTTTTTTTTACTTTATTAAGGGCAATTCTTTCTCGATTGTTCCTCGTGTGCCTCGTACACGATTATTCCGTCCTCGATTCCAAATATTCTTTGAAAAGAATTTAGTTACAAACCTCTTTATATTTGTCCAAACGCGAAATATTTAAATAATTAATTATCGCGAAGAAACGACGTAGAAGAAAATTCAAATCATCGATCTGCAATTCGTTTTCAATTAATTTTAATGAAGTTTAATATTTAAAGAAGAATAGTTATAATATTTAAGTTTAATATTTAGTTTTAATATTTAAAGAAGAATAAGTTTAATATTTAAAGAATATTAGAAAATAATTATCACAGCCGATAAACGATATATTTCATTGTACGAGGGAAAAAAAAAAAAAAAATACATATCTTCACACCGAAATCGTAACACTTTTACCCACTTTTACTTTGTTTCAATGAGAAACAACGTGTTATTGCGGTTGTTCTCTCGAGGAGGAGGCATAAAGATACGCGGATAGAGAAAGCTCGAGAAAAATCGTTAACCGCCCAAGAGTATTATTCTTAAAACTTTCTAAAACAGATATCACGTTTCACGTTGCCAGGGTGAGGGGAAGGGTGGTTAATTTTCGTGACTGATCGCGCACTATTTTAGAATTGCCTCCTCTCGAGGGTCGGCGACCTCACCGTCACCACTTCCGGTTATCCGGTTTTTGAACTTAAAACTCTCGAACCGGTTGTTTCTTGGTCGTCTAATTTTCAATAAATACAAATAAGCCTCGACCTGAATCGGTGGTAAGTGTCAATTCACGTGACGGGTCGTGGATTGATTTAACATCGATTAACCGAACCAATTAGTAGTGCGGCATCGATCGTTAACGACCAGCTTAAACTTTGTCCTTTGTCATCAGACCGAGGGAGAAAAAAAATATTCGTGTGTATTTCAATTTAATTTTAGCAGCGTTAATATCCGATGAAAATTGTTCGAGTGTGAATTCGAATATAAAATTGAACTTTTTTTTTTTCTCTCTCTCTAAATAAAATGGATCGATTGTAACTCAAATAAATAATTTAATATAATAACTCAAAAAAATAAATTGTAACTCAATACTCGAACAATTTTTACTTAGTTACAAAGTATTATAATGAACGTTCGTGTGAGAACTGAGGAATATCTCTCTCTCTCTCTCTCTTCCCTCTTCCCCCAATTACGAGTGTACAGCGTGTTTTACGCAGTGTATATATATATATATATATATATATATATATCGTGAGATCGTTCTCCTAGGATATAAAATTCCGCGATCGGTTGCTGGCTTACGAAAGTACTTTTAATTTTTCTTTTTTTTTCTTTTTTTTTTTTTTTTTTATAGCTAATTGGCATGATGCGGACATTTGGTATTAGCCTTATCTAATTATTGACTCGCCGAGTGATGTAACATCGTATAACCTGTAATGACGTAAATGGATCATAATAATGTTGCATCAGAGCGGTTCCTAAATTTGGCCTTTCCTCGTGTATATCGGTATATACATTGATGAAATATTTATAATATGAAACAATGTTGGCTCGTTGGAAAAATTAATTTCTAATTCTCCGAGAAGGTGGCAAGAATTTGGGGATCTCTCGATACAAAAATAAATTGTTGAAAGATGTGTTCTTTTTTCTTTTGACTTAAAATCGCTTTTGCAAGTTGAGGAAGCAATTAAAAAAAAAAAAAAAAAAAA